ACATACATACATACATGCATGCAAAACGCGACTTCTGTCTGCTCTCCAGGAGTTCTTGCTTGTTCGGCCTGACTCGTCTGACCCGTGTCTCTGCAGAGCATGATATGTGTATATACATATATAACATATATATATATATATGAATTCTGTACAGATGTGTGTGTATGCATAAATATAAATATATATATATATATATATATGTATGGCCACACCCCCTCCCCAGATCCATACTTGGAACATGCTGTGGAAATACACCAGTCTGAACAAATATTGCCACAAATAGTCCCCTGGCGCTTGTAGTGGGTCACTCAGCCGGGGCTCGCGCAACTCAGTAAAATTCTCGAGCTCTTTCTGAGTCCGGCACATGGCTTACTCCATCTCCAGAGTGAAATCCTCGGCTGCGGGTTGTCACGCTATCCGCAATCTCAAAAGATTCAAGCAGAAACCTCGCACAGAATCCAATCGGGCAGCGGTGTGCTGCAGAATGAAGGGTAATGCCTGCGGCCCGCTCGAAGACAGCAAAAAGCTTGTTGCCATCGTCTTCTGGCGTATTGCCAACTCCGAGACAGTCCACGTAGTGGGAGGGATCCCGGGCCTTGGCACGACTATGAATTTTCTTTGTTGGCATCGGCGCCTTCCGTCCCTGAGCCTTCATGTCCTGCGCAAACACCGACTCCTTCATTACATCATTCCAATCGCCCCGATCGAAAAGTTTGACCACCTTGTCCGGATTACCTGCACTGCTAGTGAGCACGGGCAGCGTGTCTGCTTCCAGCTTCAAACTACAACCCATGTCCGGGCAAGACGCTCAGAAAACAATCCCGCCTTGCACCGAATAAACACCACCATAGGCGCCGGTGCCAAGCTTCGAGTTATAGTCCGGCAGAAATCTTTCCCAGCTGACTTCTGCAACGCCTGAACAGGCTGTTCGCAGCAGCTGCGCCGTGAGAAGTCAAAGCGGGCACGAACCAAATTCGATTCACGTATTTGCAGCCTAATGCTCATGGCCTTGGAAGGCAGGCTGCTTCTTTGGCTTTGAAGGCGAGGCCTGCAACAATCGCAAAGCCGGTGCATGGACTGATGTGATGAGCTGGAGAGCCAATCCTGATGTCGGACAATGCTTACCTTCTACCACGGCCGTGGAAGCACACTGTGCCGAGAAGCACACGACTATTTTGCATCAGGGATCAGAAATATCGGTTGCAAGCCACTTGGCCTTTCGAGGGGAGTGAAGCAACGTAGGCAGCTGCTGCGGCTGGAGCTTCGAATTTGTGGCCGGCTCATCGTTGTAGCCACTGCCTGCGTCTAGGTAGAAAATATAGCATACAGACAGGTAGAAGACAATTTTATGATCTTAAGTCATCGCCGAAGACTGTCAGCAACGCGAGCAAAAAAAGAGCAGGACTCTCTCTGTTGGAGGCGGCGAACCTGCCGGACCCCGCGGCATGTCTTTTACTGCTCCGGCAAGGCCAACAAGGGCACCGCGCATGGCCAAACTGCTTACATTGGATTTTGAGTTCGGGCCCACCGGCACGGAAAGGTCCGCAACTGATGGCAAGCTGCAGCCCAAGTCCTGCACAAAGTTCACGGCCACCCCAAGCTGCAAGATGTTTTGCTCCTTGCAGTCCTCTTGCTTGTGTTTTTTTCACATTTTTCGCACACTGCCAAACAGCCACGAGCGCTAGATCCTAACCACGTGGATACCATGCCCACAAACGCTTTCAGTCACGAGGAATTGGCAAACTCTCACGTGGTGCAGCTTTACAACAAGGACTGAAATCACTGTTACCAGGAACTTATCATTACGGGGCATGCTTCCAAGCACTGCTCAGCATGCCTGGCTTCCAAAAAAACTCGCCGGGCAGCAAACACGCCGTCTTGAAACATTCGAAATCTGCGCACAGTCACCAGCACTCACGGATACCTCGATGCGAAATCCAGTGAGCTACACAAACTGCCCGGGGTGCAGGACAGCTAGGCCACAACCGCATCCAACCCTGACGGAGCTTAACATGACTAACTGCATGAAGCGAACGGATGTGAGCAAAGCCGGTTATTCAACATGAAACTACAAGTTTTGCATTGGAAAGCTTGCACACACACACACACACTTATGAAAATTTCAGCAAGAGCAAGAGGCAAGCAGAGACCAGGGGCGAGGCGGGGTTGTTGTTCGGTGTTTCACACGAACCACAGCTGCTGCAAACTGATTCAAGAAACAACAGCGAGGATAATCATCATACAGCGACAGTGCTAGATGCTTTTTACGTTCTTCATCACTTTGCAAATACCGGTGGTTGATCAGACCGCCCATCCCCTGGCTTGGAGCAGCTTCGTTGGCACAAGTAGCCAAGACACCTGTGCCCTCGGCAGTGCGAAAAAACAGACCAATGCAGGAGTGGCCCTCTTTTCCCATGTGCTAAGGAAGTTCTCACACACACAGCTCCAAAAATGTGGGGTAGACTTCTGTCGAGCAACGACGTCCACTTTTGGTGCAGGTTGCACAGTCGCTGCTGTGTTCGTGTGTCTCCGGTCAAGTGAAACGTCCATCTTGACATGTTCGAAATGTCGCGAACTTCCGTCCAAAACGGTAAATCTGTATGATTCTGCTGCATCAGTCGAAATTGTGATGCTTGAATGCTGTACAGTTCGTCGTTGAGCAGGAAGAACAATTCCACTTTGACGTCATCAATGATGGCATTGATAGGTACATCGATGCGACAGGCCGCGATGCCTGGTATGGGTATGTTACGTTGTCAACCCAGATGCTGTGAATACCTTCCTGGTGCTGTGCGGGTTGGTGTTCAGCGCGTTCCGACACCGTAATGGCATAACGTTTCATGGCTGCCACAAAGAAACTTCATAGGGCCAAAAGGACGCTGCGAATTTGGCTGTGTGACACATGTGCTGAGGCATATCATACTCGGATCCGCACAGGCGCTTTGCTGCGAGATCACAGATTGGTCTGTGTAGCTGGCCTTCTCATAGAGTTGGCGCAGGGCTTCATGTGCTCGAGCGCTAGGTGCACAGACTCGCTGCGTGAGTCGTGTGCTTGCCTGGTAGCTGCTATGTAGAACCTGTTTTGTAGTGGCTGAACGTGGGTGCATAATGTCAGCGATGGTGATGTTGTTGTGGTGCGTGAGGCTGTGGTTGTGTGGATCCACGGCAAAGCCCAACAAAAAGCTGGCCGGTTCAGTTTCTAGCTGGACCGTGTGGGTAGTAATAGAACACGCTTGTCAACGTACCTGGTGGCGAAATACAGCGAGTATTGTGTGTGAGAATGCATGGGAAAATGCTTGTGGTTGAAGATGAGCTGTCCATATGTGTGATGCCAACAGTGTTCTTCAGCTACCACCATGTTGCATAGTGCAGGACTACATGGTGATCCCAGGGGGACACCCCGAAGTTGCTTGATACATGTGCCCCCAACTGTGAAGTAACTCAGCAACAGAATGGTTGTGATCATCGTGGGAATGTGTTTGATGTGGACGCTGTGTTTTTTGTCGGAGGCATTATCCTCTTGCGGTTTCTGTCTGCCTTTCCCACGGTGCACTGGATGTTTCGGATCTGTTTGTAAATGGTCAACGTGAATTGTTGGAGAATGGGAGGAGTTTTTGGCTTGGCACCAGCGCGCCATGATGCGGTAGGCGGCTAGGTCCACGGATGTGAAGAAGCCCGCCAGGTCCGATTGAAGCAGGGTCTGCTTCCTGTTCTCGGCGTGAGCTGTGTGATGGCTTCGCCGTGATGGAATGCATCAGGACGGGCTTGGTTGGCCATAAGTTGTAGGATGTCTGCTAGATCCTCGCACAATGGTCTGCCCATGGTGTTTAGAAAGGGTCGAGCTTTTGCATATTGTTTCTTGGCCTTTGGGAGCGTACAGGCTTGTGGATCCATCCCCACGGTTTGAGGGCTCACTTGTATGTGGGCAGGATGCCGCACATGTCATTGTCGGTGTCAAAGTGGTGAGACAATGGTGGCAGTGTAGAAATGGCGGAGACATCTGGGTCTGCAAAATCTGTTGGTGATGGTTTGGTGGAAAAAGGGCCAGTACCACATCAGTCGGTTTGGGAAATGGTCTTCACAATGCATGATGCCGGGACAGAGTTTTGATTGTACTTAATTGACAGCGTGAATGTCAATATGATGTTTACTGTGCTGCTTGTGCTTTTGCAGTTGCGTTGAAACCAATCGCTTGAGTTCGGTGTCCGACACTGGTAGGTGGTAGAATTTGTGCCAGGCTTGTAAAGATCGCGTGAGCTTTGGAGCTATATGCCCATCGTTGGGCAGGATGTTGCTTTGCCCGAATAGGCAAGGAATGGATGGCTGGGGTGTAGTTCTGCCAACTGTATGGCAACATGTTCGTGATGTATACGCTGTGGTGCGACTTGTGGTTTGACTGCTTGGCATGTGCAGGCGGGTGGTGGGTCAGGTGTCCAGGCGTTGTGTGTGCTGCTCTCCAGTTGTGGAGAATCTTCTGAGGTGTTTCTTGTACATCAATTCTGTACCGGGCACGTGGAGTCGCAGCATGTGCTGCTTGTGTTTGGTAAGTCGTTCCCGTAGGAAACGTCGAAGATCTGTGAAGAAGCAAAGGTGCATCATCGGCAGTACAAAGATCGGCTTGTTGGGCTTCGGTGGTCGTAGCCTTCTTTTCTTGAAAACGGTGCCGAGTGCTTTGCACGCAGTACGCTTGTCTCTGCGCGGCAAATGCTTGCAAGCTTGTGTAAGGCGTAAACACTGCTGAGAGGTGGTTCCGTTCGTAGAAGCTGCTTCGTGGTGTCGAAGCGGATACGTTTGTTGGAACATAGTTGGGATATTGTCTGCCAAGCTCGGTTGCGGGTTCTAAAAAGAGGTGTTCTGTTGAAATCCCTGGCTGTCGTGGGTAAGTGGCCTCGTCTGAGTTTGACCCAAAGCGTGCTGGAGCCACTGCGTTTGTTGTTGGCCGCTGTGTTGAGGCCTGAGAAAGCTCCCTTCATGTGATTGCAGATAAAGGGGTAGGTAGTTGAGTTTGACTGATGATGCTGTATGTAGGCGTTTTCTGCGGCTTCCAGTTGTGATGCAGTGGTGTCGGTATGGAGAATGACGGGAATGTAGTCGCGGAAGCATCGTTGTTTGTGCACCATCGCAAGGCTTGTGTTTGCGATGCGTTTGCTTTCTCGTTTCGTGTGCTTTCTCGTTTTGTCATCGTGGTGTGGCTGCTGTCAATGTAGACAAATTTCTGGAATCTTGGAATCAGGATGATTCTGGTGCAAAACTACACCTGGTGTTCTGAACTGAGCCAAGGTGTATGTGCGAGGTAAAATGTTGGAAAGCTGGAAAATTCGGCGAAGGTTGGTGTACTGGCCGGTCTGTGCTTTGGTGTGGTAGTGGAAAACTTTGAGCAAAAGGGCTAGGCCTTGCAGCCATAGCACTACTTGAAAAATGTCATGCGACAGTTATGATGCATGTGGTGAATCGATGCGGGGAATCGCTCTGCATTGGTCGCACTGATGTGCGCCAGAGCCTGTGGCTCTCTGTAGTAGTCACTCGGTCATCTGAGAGATGATGGCAACCAATCGGGGTTGCTGAATTTTTGATGGTTTTGCCGCAAGCCATTGCCGCCGCATGTAAGCGACTTCCTGCTCTGTAGTGGGCATCGGGAACGCTTTTGCTGTGGCATCGTGGAATTGCTTGCGTTGCCGTCGTTTCTTGTCTGACATCCCTTTCAGGCCTCCGAACCATCGCATGATTCCGCTTTCGGTGTAGACCCCAGAAAAGTTATTCGGGAACCAACGGTTTAGTTGCTTCGGTTGGTGCAGCATCTGCTGTGGGTCAAGATCTTTGCCTGCTGCATGGGTGGTGGTGCCTGACGCGAGGGCGGATTGCCGCTGCTTCTTGGCTCCAAGTGCGGCTTTGCCTGGGAGGTGTAGGCCTGTAAGGGAGTTGGGGGGTGCTGGTGTCCGGGCTTGCCGCAGTTGGGTCAGGGTGGTTCGGCAGAGGCGAGTCCAGGTTGAAAGCTTGGGTAGATTCGTAGGCGCGCTTTGCTGCCTCTCTGGTTTTGGTTTTGGGTGTGGTGTCAAGGTTGACGACGGGCTGAGACGGTGTCGTAGGGGAAGGTGGTGGGACGATCTGCTTAGTGGCCGGTGGCTTGGGTCTGCGGCTGGTTGTTTCCGCCTGTCTGTCTTTGGGTTGTTGTGTAGTGTCTTGTGGATTTGCCAACCTTGCTTCTAAGTCACGGATGCGGTGAGCTGCGTGGACATCGGTAGATCCACGCGGTTGGCTAGATGTCTGCCACCCCCGCGCTTTTCTGCGTGGTTGCTTGACGCTGTTGGTTTGCCTGTTTGCTGTGCGGGTTGTGGCGGGGTTGATGAGCCGTTGTAATTGTCTTGTAGTTCCTGCATGTAGCTGACAAGTTCTTTGACGAGCCTTGTCATAGCAGGATTGTTGCCCAAGTTGAGCTGTTGCTCCCAGCAGTATGCTGCAGAAATTGATCTAGCTTGTTGCGTGACATGGCTAGCAGCTCGGTAAGAAATACCGCCTCAGTCGTGTACTTGCTGCATGTGATGTGTAGGCCGTTGCCGTGGGCAGTGTAAAGGACCCACTAAGAAGACTATCCGTGATGCAAGAAGGCAGCAAGTGGTGCTGTGGCTATAGGCATTCCTGTTTTGTTTTGGATGCTGTGTGGCACTGTATGGGGCGGATTCTATGTAAAGTGGTAGAATGATGCCAAAAATGGCGATTGTCCCATAGGTCTGTAGTCTGGACAAAGTCATGTGGGATTTGTGGAGCTGCTTCGCCACGTTGGTGGTGATTGTGTGAGTTGGATTGGTGCTGGGGCAAATGTTGCTGTGAATGAAAAGATGATTGCTTCAAAGCGTGTCTGACTTGCTTCATGCAGGGGGAGCCGCAAGGCTCTGAAATCAATCACATCATATACTGGAGGCCTCAAGGTTCCTATTCATGTGCTCCATGCCTAGCTTCCTCAATCAGCACTACCAACGTGGGCCCGGACCCGGATATCATTGGAGGGCTAAAGCACAAGTTCAAAATAGTTCAAAGTCAAAAGCATGCCATGACCGTACGCTGATAGCCCACGCAAGGCTGTGGCGATGTAAAGGTGTGCCAGGTGCCTGGTGGTGTGCCGGTGGACGGGGACGGCATAGTGTGAAGTTGGGTTGGTGGTGTGTGGGTGGTCATGGTAGCGGTGGTGGTGGTGGCAGTGGTGGCAATGGTGGTGGCGGCGGCGGCGGCGGTGGCGGCGGTGGCTGTGGCGGCGGTGGCGGCGGTGGCTGTGGCGGCGGTTGTGGCGGTGGTAGCGGTGGTGGCGGTGGTGGCGGGGTGGCGGTGGTGGCGGTGGTGGCGGTGGTGGCGGTGGTGGCGGTGGTGGCGGCGGTGGCGGTGGTGGCGGTGGTGGCATGGTGGCGGTGGTGGCGGTGGTGGTGGTGGTGCCGAATGTTGGCGCATGCTGTTGATGGCTGTACCCATCATGCCCCTGGGTGGTGTCATGTTCACCTGCTGTGTGGTGGCTGTCATTGCTGGCTCATGTTGCGTTGTTTCTCGAGTCTACTTAGATTGAGAAATGCTAAGACTAAGACAGAGCCGAAATCACATACGGTACAGAATGGAGATCTCAGCAACAGGTGGAATGAAACGCATACGACATCTGCAGCAGCAACATGGTACCGACATTGTCAAGTCGGCCGCTGCATGTCGAGACTGTTTTTCCCACCCCAAAATGTGCTTGCTGCGGGGCCGAGATGTCTCTACAGAATAGCAGATTGTAGAAGACGCAGCCCATGAATCGCTAAGATGCCAATAACTTAGCGCAACACAACTGGGAGTCGAACTGATCTCATGCCACCACTCCAATACCTGTAATCGTGATGAGGGCTTCACGCCACGAATCTCGATAGTCAACCTTGTAGTGCTGAAAGTTAGACTGCATCAATCCGAAGACCGGCACGCCCCGCTGTCCCTTGCTGTGCCGTGCGGCGTTGTCTGCAACAATATGAACTGTGGTTTCGTTGAGTTCGCGAGGTGTGGCTGATCCGTAGATGACTGTCGCTGGAATTTTAGCGTGGTTTGCTTAAAATGTATGTTGGATGCTCGTAGGTCATGGCAACAGACATAGTTCCATGTAGGTCCCGGTGGTGTGGATGCTGAATATCCAAACGGAACGCGTTCCTCACCCCTCCAAGGCACACACAAGACATAGTGCGCACTCCGTCTGAAATGTCCAGAACAGTAGCGCGGAGCTCTAGACATGCCTCGCGCGTGCCCGAAACACATATGGCCTCTGCGAGGTCAGACATATCATTGATCTTGATGCTAGTGTTGTCAGCACTGTCAATGAGTGTGTGCGGCAGCTTGTTGCTCTCGACAATGTCAACAGCGTGTGGTGTGACGCTGTCCTCTTGCCTGATCTCAGCGTAGGGTATGACGAGAGTCTGGGGTGGCCGTCAGTCTGTCCGTTTGTCCTTGGACCGTGGTGCGTCTGCTGCTGCTCCGAAGTGCTTCGTGTTAACTCTCGTCCCTGTGTGGGAGTTTTCCCTTGCGTCGTGGTTTGGTTAGTCTGATTAGCGACGCGGCAAACTTGGAGTTGTAATCGTGCAGTATAGTTGTTGTGGCATTGTGTTGGTGGAAGAGGTGGTGGGGATGGGAATCGTCTTCTGCGATCGGTGGTAGGTGATCGTGCTCGATAGTGCCAAGAGCTATCCCTCTCCTGTCTGAGAGATGAATAGCTGCGTAACGTGATGGTCTGTGGTGCCGGACTGTCCGGTTGGATGAGCTATAATGGATGGGCTGTGGTTGTGGTGTCTGACCTGTTGGTGTCGACGTCTTCTGCTGGTGTGGTGGCTGGTTCTGCTGGTTCTGTGTCGACGGTGTCTTCTGTCTTGTCTGGTGGAGTGGCGGCGTCGTCTGCCGCGGCTGCGTGAATCGATTCGCCGGCGAGGTTGTGATGTGGCGGGTTTTGTCTCTGGTGTGATGGTGACCGCAATCTGTGCAGGTGGCTGCTGTAGTGTAACCACGGCTTGGTCTGGTGCTGTTTGGGTTAGCGATTGTGGCGTCTGTGCTCGTGCCATGTTGCTTGGTGGTGGTGGTCCACAGGTCGTTGGTGGTGGTGGTTGGTGGTGCAGTATTGGTCGGTGGTGGTCCAGTGGGAGCTTGTGTCACAGGTGCTTGTGGTACCAGCTGTGATTGTGGCGCAGGTTGTCCGATGTGCACAGTGTATTGTGTTGCTTGGGTTGACTGCGTATGAAGCATTAATCTGATAATGTCATCAAACGTGGCCGGTGCTGGCTGTGGCTGTGGAATTGTGATGCTCGGTGTTTGTGGCTGTGTTGGCATCCCATAAAGTTACGTGATTGCAGGGTGTGGGTTGCATGGCTGCATGCCCTTCATTTGAAGCTGCTGTGGTGGTGCCATCGGCACGTTGCTGGCGCTCATGAGCGTGTATGGGCGTGAGCTTGTATTTGGGGTTGTTGTTGCATTTGTGGCATCGCGCTAATGCTGGGCGGTGGAGGTGCTACCTGCATTGGTGGTAGCAAACTGTTGCTCGGATCTGGCTGCATAAATGGATGCTGAAACTGCAGCGGAGTTGTTGGCTGCATTTGTGGCACTGTGCGGCCACCCCGCACGTAGGTTGGAGTTGGCTGCATCAGATGCAACCGACAGATTCTGCTGAGCAACCATAATGGTACAGCTGGACCGTTGTTGGTCTCTTTGGAGAGACACGAATAATGCACTGCCGGAAAACTGGGCTTCCGAAGAAGCGATGCACCAGACTGGACGTTACCACACCTGCACTCATCTCAGACTCACATGCACTGGCATTCTCTGAGACAAGAAGCAATACAACAAAGACAGAATAGTCGAGGTATTCCTGCGCAATCCTGCACACCTGCACCTGCATTGGACGAGTCGTTTTGTTTGCATCTGGTCTGCAGCGACCTGCGCCAGGACAGAAACAAGAGGCACACCCGAAGCCCACAGCTTTAAGCTAGAAGCCTTCGGAAGGGACGCATCGTTACAGCACATGACCTCATGTGACCATCCGCACATGCCGTTGCCCGTATTACTTCCGGATATGCGCTATAAAGTAATTAGGTGCCTGGGAGTGTCAACCCATCAGCCCAAAGAATCAACCCGATATCTGGCTCCTGGCCAGCTACCCCGCAGGGCCACCACAGCGCCATGACGGAAAGCCGCTGTTTACAGCTCTCCGGGACCCCTATGTGCCACACTTCTGGGATTTCGGAAAGAGCAATAGGCAAGCAAAGACAAGCGGCGAGGCAGCGTTGTTGTTCGTGGATTCACACAAGCAACAGCTGCTGCAAAGTGTTCAAGAAACAACAGAGAGGATAATCAACGTACAGCGACATTGCTAGATGCTTTTTGCGTTCTTCATCATTTGGCAACAACAAGTGGTTGATCAGACCACCCATCCCCTGTCTTGGAAACAGGCCGCCTGCAGTGCGAAAAAGCAGACCAATGTAGGAGTGACCCTCTTTTCCCATGCTGCTGCTGCTGCTGCTGCTGCTGCTGCTGCTGTTGCTGCTGCTGCTGCTTACTTGCGAGGATTAGACTAAGTCTGTCGCAACTTCGACGCTCCAAGCTGAAGCTACAAAGATGTATGTCATACACGCACGCACAATCCGGACCAAGTCACCTGGATGTTGGTAACACGGACGTTGTCCGAGAGTATCTGTTCCTCGGTCTTTGCCCCTGCTTTCATCTGGCAATTGGTCACTGAATCCGACAGGCCGGGTCAGCATCCCTTGGAAAAAAAGAGGCGGCCTGGGCGTCGGCCACGTTGCGTTCGAGATCAGCTGTCAATCCTCTGTCGCATGTGCGATTTTGCACGGACTTGGCGTGAAGTTCAAAACGGCAAAGCTTTTTATGGTTAACGCCGGCTGAGGTCCTAGTCTTTGAAATTATTAAAAGCTGGGAAGCAAAAGCGTCGGGTACAGTCCAATATGCACACAGACTGACCCTGAACCTCTGTGTGATCCGATGCCCTTCATCGGGAAACGCAAGGGCATGGGCCAGCAGAGTAGCCAAGCGTCCCGACGAAGAAATGCTCTTGCAGGAAGTTCACTCAATGGCCGGGGCCTGCATCAGCAAGACTCAACAGGTACAGTTCTAACTGATCCACCAATTCTCGATGATTGAATTCGCAGGTGGCCAGCCGCTATCTTATCATCCGGCGCACAGAATTGCTGCAGCGTCTTGCCACCATGACCCAACTGCAAGACTATTGGCACTTGCCAGCAGAAGTTTGAACTTGCCGACTACCTTTCCGACTGAGATAAATTACGCAGCCTCAATCATAGCGAAATTCTGCGAACTCGCGAACTGGCCTGTAACGGACTTTGCCGGGCGCCAACCCGAAACCTCAAGGAGCCAGGCTTCGGAGGCGACGTGTGGTGCTGTCGCTTCGTATGGCTGCACCAGAAACCTTGAAGCCGAGCTGCCCGTGTGAGTCTCCCTCTTCCTTCACGTGGAAGGTATGGGCGCTCTGCCCCAGCTGATCACAGGCCCTGTCAAGCGGGTAATTGGAAGTCCTGCCATCTGCAACTACTTGCCACCACTTGGACCTGACATTTATACCAAATGGAAAACTTCTCCCCAGCGCCCGAGATCCATAGAAGTTCTTGAATGGCTTGTTGGCTAAAGAAAACCTGTGAGGATGTTTGCTGCCAACAGATGATCTGAGCTGGCTGGGAACTGAAACCGCGAATTGGTGCAGATCACCGGACATGGTTACCGTCTAGGGCGAAGCTAGGGCTGACCCCCTAAGCCGCATCTCTCTTCGGTTGAATATGAGTCGGTCCTCACCGCCGGGATCATGCAACAAAACTTGCACAGACCCAATTGTCTAGCCAGGTCAGGCTCAACGTATAGCTCCGCAAAACTGGTATGAGAGCAAAGCGTTCAAACAGACGTACAGTCGTCAGCAATAAAGATCAGACTGTCATGCTGGCCTGTGCGGCCACTATAACTTGAAACAATAGGCACAGCAGAAACGCAAGGCTTGCTAGTTCAAGCACGTCAACTTCTAGCTGTGTAAGGAACGGCATGAGAATGCAAGCCCGTCTCTTTTTGCTACAGACATCGGCTGCAACGTCATCCTTCCTTCTCCTTAGCGGTTGAAGAAATAACGAGCACACGAAAGAATGCCGGCCGACTGGTTTACCTTGCGATTGGGCTCAAGATCTCGTGCCAAGCCGCAGGATGACGTGGAAGCAGCGTCCCTACTGACGCTTGGGTGCCCACTCCACAATAATGGTAAGGCAAGCAGCTGTGCAATCAGCGATGGCAACCTGAGACCATCAGAAAGGAACACCTTCATCCGCAGCTGCGTGGCAGTTTGGGAGAGTAGTCTTGCGTAGACAATCGAGGCCTTGTATGTCACCCCTAAAGCCGGACCCATTAGTGCTTGGTTAATTCTCGGACTTTTGTGGAACCTCAGGTCTCTGCCACCACTTGCCAACCGACTTGTTCGACTCCCTTTCCCGGAGCCGTCCTGCAAACCCTGGCCAAGAACCAGCTGTGATTGATCGTCAAGCAGCTCGAAATGGACGACACGGGGCTTGATGGGCCTGTCGGCTTTTCATCCAAGCAGCCCCTCTCGCCCATGGTGTTTCGGCGCTGCACTCCCAATGGCACCATGCCAGAAGGCCTGGCTGGCTATTGAAATAATCCTAGTGTGAACTGCCGTGGTAAGGCTTTATTCCCTTGACATTGAGCGTCTGAAATCGTAGCTTGAAGCAGGTGCAGTCAAAATTCGGCGTGGTCCCGCTGCTTCTCGGTGGAGTGCAGGACCTGCCACAGAAGCATCTAGTGTCCTTCACTTGGAAGCTATGCTCCCATCTCCACGAAGATTCGGAATCATAGCATTCATTCCTGTAGCCCCGCCTTCCGTCGCACTGCGCTGCATCACAGCCTGGCCGCTTCGTAAAGCTTTCAAGCATGTACATGCTCGTTGCATTCGGGCCCGGGAAACTCAAGCGGGAGGGAAGTCGAGGAAACAGTGCAATGTGCCGAGTCGGATGCCACGGGCCGACTCGGAAGCACCCAGTGTGAATCACCAGATAAGATGTTTTGGATCCAGACTCTGTCTATGAGGCTACGAAGGCCCAGGATGCCCCGGGTCCACCTGCGAAACATGCACTCCTCGCTCATCAGAAAAGAACACGCATAGGGCCGTAGGAATCCGGAGCCAGCGCGGAAACGACTCGGAGGCAGAGCCCGGGTCTTGGCCCCGGCGAGAAGATTCTCGTTCTCTCTTTGAAGGCTTCAACTGGTACTTGATGCAGCTTGAAGGTGTGTCGACGCCCTGTCGTGGATGAAGGGAAGGTATGTGCTACGGATCGAGCCGGTGGTGTGGCAGATGATGACTGCATGAAATAGCCGGTAAGTTGGGAGACAACAGCCGATGAGTGTCTCTCGAGCATCAGTAAGTCTAATGCTCAAGCCCGGCACCTACTCCTACTTCTGCCAACAGCCGTCCCTTGTTGGCCAGCTGTTCTCTTCTCAAGCACGTTTCAATCATGGAAACAAGACCCATGACAGGAACGACTTTCTGCAATTTCACGCACCTTGCGTTGGGATGGTGTTGACTGTTTGGCGGACACGGTCGATCATGCCGGCCTCAGGCCACAGAGGAGGCGGAATGACGACCGTTTGCCAATTGGAACTGAAGCTCAAAGAATCGAGCTGGCGAAGGCGGCAGCGGCAGCTTGATGCAGCAGCACTGCTGGACCTTCATGCTGCACACACGCCGTTGGAAACACTACTCGCATCTACTCACTCAGCCCGCTGCACACAAGCATCGCCCATCAAGCTTGACCATTTTTCTTGTCGCTTGTCACACACCTACTGCTTTCTACTGGCACAATAGCCTCAAGCCTGCAGGGAAGTTCAATCTCGGATGAAAATCGTCAGCCCTTGATTTCCGCGCACACACACAAGAGACAGGTGTGCAACGCTCTGCCTTTCTTGTCATTATGCCGCTGCTCTTTCAGCACGTCATGCTTTGCAGAGTCGATCGACTGCCTCCAAAGCTGCCTGTGCCTCATACTGCACGCCTGATGGTGATGTTAGGCCCTGGCCAGAGGCAGAATAGCTCTGGTACACGTCTCGAAGGTAGGCATTGGTCCTAGCACAATCCAGCTTCAGATTCTCGAAGCGCTCAGGGTCACGAGACACTGCGGCCGCCCAAGCCCAGGCACAGACGCACCAGTGACCGCCATCCGTCACCACAGTAGACAAGTCATTCGCGTCATATTTCGTACTGGATTGCAGGAACTGTTGGCTCATGGTGACACACACTTGGTGATATCCGCTGTCCGACGGTTCCCATGCACAAAACCCAGTGCGAGTCCAGCCCGTAGTTGTGTCCCCCTCCTGGGAGCAAGGCTTGAGCTCTTGACCGTATAAGTTCAGATCCTGGGATCCGACGATGCTCGCAGTCGATGAGCGCTTTGCAGCCAATGCTACCGTCTCTTTGTGGGCTGTCTGAGTGTCCTTTGAAATGGAACTTTGGCTAGAGCGAATGTGCAGCAAGCCACCAAGTGGCAGTTGGGCGGCAAGTCGAGTGGTACCAACCCAGCACAAGCTCAAGGAGTGGCACAGCCTGCCGAAGAGCACTACCAGAAATGTGCAGAAGCAAACGCGGCATGCACCGGAGCGCCGAGATGGATCCATGGCAGAGATGCACTACAAATGACTCCAACAGCTTGTCCGCCGTTCCAAGCATGAGATGATAGCGCTGCTGCTAGTTCGCTGCACTTCGAATGAAGCTTGTAGCTCGCCACATGCACCCAATGCAAAACAGAAGGGACTGCGAAGTATGCGAATGGAGCATTGGGGGGGGGGACTATTCGCCACCACCTAGAATCACCTACCCATCAAACTTCGGCAGCGCATGCAACAGGACCTTTCTGCTACGTCTTCTGCGCAGTAGAGCTGACTGTGCAAGCCACTCAAAATCGTGCATAATGCTGCTTGTCCACTGACCGCTCGCCGCTTCTGATTTGTGGAACAAGAGAAACGAGACTCCCAAGAGGAACAGTTCACATCGAAAGCAAGAAGAATGCGGGCACTGACCAGGCAGCCTATTCGATTGCACATTAGCTTACATCACCAGTTGATATCTATCCCTTTAGCCAAAGTTGGGCCCTTGTAGCCATCATAGCAGAGACGAGAGCTTCAAATCTCTTCGAGGTGCCGCCTTTCCAGCCCTCTCGTGAGAGGACGGCCCGAGGGCTCCCATGCGAATTGCTGCAATTTTCAGCTTCTTGCGATGCTTCAGTTCTCCCTCGGGGCATAGATGGCAGTACTCGCAATTCTCCACGTTTTGGCAACCCTTGGGCTTCCACATCCAGGCGCATGGGCGGCACTGGCCGGAGCGGTGAAGAGCCGAGCCCTTTGACGGCACCGGTCCCGTCGGCACTGGCTCTTGGCTTCCCGTGTCCGGAGCCGGTGGGCTGAGCAATCCTTCAGAGTCAAGGCCAAGGACGGATTCAGCCATCATAACAGCCTGGGCTTCCAGATGCTCTGAGCTATATTCTTTGCTCTGGACATGGTCAGGCACATCCTCCGAGGCCGCAGACACTGGGCCATTCCCACATTGCTGGACCGGCATAAAGACTTTCGCATCTGCATTCAAAAATGCAGCCGAAGATTCGGTGGGCGGCAAGGCGAAGCTGTACGCGGCCTCAGTTGCCTTTGGTGTTGGGGTCGCTGCCCACAATACCTTGGGGGTTCTCGCATCCACGCCTTGGCCCTCTCCGCGAGGCTCCTCAGCGCCGTCCTGCCTCGACGTGTTTGAAGAAGCTGTGGGGGACGGTGGCGAACCAGATCGAATTGTTGTGGTTCGAAGGCTGCCTCTGCTGGCTTCATGCCAAGTGTGCGTGACACAGAGAGGTGGGAGGATGGGTTTCATCTGAGACCCGAGGGGGGGGCGAAAGCTATAGCTGCACGTGATCGTCTTGTTGGAGGTGCGGGAGG